CAAAATCAAGATAAAGTAAAAATATCCTAATAATATGTAATATAAGTGTCAAGCCTCAGGAGTTACAGTACTGTATTTTTTGTTTTTTGTTTAATGAGGTGTATGGTATGTGAAATATAGTCTTATAAATGAATACATGAACATATTGTAAGTGAAGAAATGCATAAATAAATGAAACAGACAAATAAATGAACAAAAACAATAATATGCCTCTCTTATACACATCTGACCTTTCGGTAATTATTACTTCACAGCTATTATTAGAACAGTACAACTTTTAAAACTTTTTTACACTTTTTATTGTTTATATCTACCTGTTGGGTTTAAAGTCATGTTTTAGTTATTGCGTTTTATAAATATTTAACACCTACCCGTTGCGGTGACCAATGTTATATAATGCTGTCCTCGCGCCTTCAGTTTGAAGTCTCCGAAACAAATTTTCAGCTACCCTGTGCAAATATGAATGAAGTAAATTACCAATTCTGTTTATCAAAATGTAGCAAGTAGACCTACAAGTTACATGACTATATAATAATAATAATAATTTATTAGGAACTACACTTTTCAATCAGTGGCACACTTCTCAATGAAGGTGCGTCCAAAACAAAATGTACAGTAAAGTTCACAAAAAAGACTTATGCTAAGAAAAAGACAATTCAAATTTTCAAAAGGGACATTAAGGAAAAGTAAAAAAAAAAAAAAAATGTTCAGCCATATAAAATTAAAAGCAATCTTAAACTAAAAAAAAAACTTAAGGCAAAATAAAGTGATGCAAACAATCACATGAACACTATACAAACGTACATGAAATACACATACAGTACATAAGTACATATATATCCATACACAACTGTATACCCAGTCACATGACTGTACCGTACTCACAATTATAAACATAAAGACATACAGTACATACTGAACTCTATACTATACTACACCACTTATCACACAAGAAGCACACATATCAGGCCAGATAACACAGAAGCATATAAAAGTAAATCAAAAGTCATAAAGTAATACAGGACTAAAATCAAAAACGTTCGTTTTCTTTTTTGATCTCATTTCTCTTTTTCCATGCCCTTGTAGCATACCTTTTACAAAATTTGTCAAATTTTTCTTCAATTTCTTTTGGAAGATTTAGTGAAAAAGAGCCAAGTACATACATTAACTTCTGATCGGTTGTTGAATTTATAAATTGGTTCCAAACAGGCCTATTTGTATTTACTACTTCATGTTCAAGCTTTGCTAGTTCTTCCAATCTGATGTTATGGAGGGAAGGACATCAAAAAAAAGAAAATGTCTAATATCTTCAATTGAATAAGAGCTACAAATAGAACAAATGCCATCATTATTATCGGACCAACTTGAGATTCGTTTTTGTAATGGTAAAGTATTGGAGCGTAATCTAAATTTTATGCAAGCACCCTCAAAATCTGTAGTTTCAAGTAAATATTTTTCTAGGTAAGGGCTTTCCTTAATAATTGAGTAACCTGAAAGGAAAGATTTTTTATCAAGATTACTTCTCCAATCAGTACAAGCTTGTTCTTTAAGTTTATTCAAAATGAAGTTGGTCCAATTTCCGATGAGATGGAATCAATGGTATCACATATTAATTTAAATAAATTTACTGATTCACATTTTGAGAAAACATTGGAAACACATTTAAGAAATTTAAAACGGAAATTATCAAAGTTACTATCCATGTGTAATAAAGCCTTAAGTAAAAGTTTTGGCCACCGATGTGATTCCATATGTATAATGCGATGAAAATATTTTATGCATTATATATCTATACCTAGCTAACTATTAAGTTAATCTTTTTTAAAGAATTTCCTGTAAGTTAAAAAACTTGTTTCGGAGGCTTCAAACACTTGTTAACACCATAGTTTCTGTTGCTTTTAGTTTTAAAGTTAGGAATATTTTTGAAATTTCATGCTATATGTTTGGTTTTGATCTACTAAAATTACAGGAATGAATTTTAAGTTCTGGGTGGTTTGTTTTACTGGTATACAAGTAACTAGTAATACGGATTTCCATTATTCAGAAACCTAATTAGTATTTATTGTTTTCTAACTCTTGACACTGCAAGAATAATTTATCAAATAATATTACACACATACTTTGTTTAGGCTTGAAAACAATTCAAGATATAAACCATCTACATTTAAGTGAAATTTCTCAATACATTGACAAATTATTATGAACTTTTAAATGATTTTCTGAATGGTTTCGGAGGCTTCCATTTTATGTTAACAACATGTATTGTTTTAATAATAAAACACCTATTCACCAACCCCTTATATTGTAATTTGACAGACCATGCAAATCAGAATGTCTTGCAGTAAAATCACAAATCCTTGACAAACAAGCAGTTTACAGCACCCCTCTCATTCAAAATATACACCCTAATACTATTCTATGTTATTATTTATATAATTTTCAGTACAATTCAAAGCCGCTATACTTTTTTGTACTGTACTTTCTTCCTTTTTTTCCTACAATAATTAATGATGTAGTACTAACATTATATTTATAATAACTCGCGAAAGTCGCCTTTCATGAAGTTCATGAGGCTGTGAGAACTGGTGTGGGTCAAGATATTTGCCGGAGAGGTCGACGAGAAAGAAAAAAAGGGCACTCTTGTATAAATGACAGAATTTTAAATGATGTGACGAACCGTCTTCCGTCTTGTCACCCTTCCACTGTTTGAGAGACTTGAAAGCCAAAAATAATATTAGACTAGCCTGAAAATTATTCTCATAAATGAATAATCCCCCACCCCCCGAAAAAAAAATTTAAAAACTGCTGGCTATTTACCAATATCTGTATTAGTATAATTATATACAGAAAGTACTCTGACATATAACCTAGGCAACCCTTCCTAAAAAGGTACACTTTCTTCATCAAAAGGCTTTTACGAATGAAATGACCTGTTTGAAGCACAAACTCCTAGACTAAATCCAGTACCGTTGCGATTTTTAATTGTACGGGAAATCTATTTGTATTGCATATTGGACATTTATAAATTTGCAATTGCAATTTGCAATTTTACTAAAAATAATAAAAGATTATATATTATTGCATGATACATTTTGCAAGTTCAGGGATGTAGTTATGGGGAGGGGAGAGGGGGTGAAGTCACCCAGCCTTGAAGTTTTCCATCCAGTCTAAACCTAATTTCATGGCTCTCCACCCACACTTAACTAACCTACACTTCCATTCTTAAAATTCGCTCTTATTAGAGATGGGGTATGCATAAAAACCAGTTGGAGGGCCGAAACCTAGCTTTAATGTTTCAAGTGTGCTTCCGAAAACCTTCATGCACTGCTTTTATGCCATTTGATTCTCAGTTTTAATATTAATTTTTAGAGGTGATCGGGGCGTAAAAAACAAGGGGTTTTCTATCACTTTGCCCAACTGTGATTTAGAGTTTCCCACCCACCTTTTTCTTTTGAATGTTAAAATGTCTATCACCCACCCTATAGTTTTCTACAGCAACAACCTTGTAGTTGGTTTAGTTCGGGAATAATTGTTAAGTTTGGTATTAGACAGTATTTAAGTATAACTAAATAGTACTGTATGTTAACAGGTTTGAAGTCTCCGAAACATGTGCCATTATTAACTTGAAACCTCTAAAACATTTTCATGAGCTTCAACTTTGATACAACAAATCAGTTTAATTTAAATGCATTTTAAATTTTACTCTTACTATATATTCAGTATATACACTCAGTATGGGATGTTGCTATCCCTAATGTTAACTACTAAACATAAGACAGGACGCATTGGTAAGCGTACTTTGTTGACGTTGTAAACAATGTAATAACAATTTGCAAACATTATGTTAAATAAATTACATTTAGACTTTTTATTAATAATGCAGTTTGGTTTTTTTTTGTTTTGTCTGAAAAAAATAGCTTATATCATATGTTAACATGTTGGAATCCTCCAAAACCTATGTTATTGTTAACTGAAGTCTCCGAAACATGTTATTCTGAAAATTACATCTTTGGTATAACAAATGCAATTTCTTTGAAATTTGCATTGGTACAGTAAGTAACCCTAACTAAAGGTTATCTGTACACTATGTTTTACTTCACATTCCCTTTTGCAATAGGTAATGAACTTTAAAAAATGTTATCTTAGTATAAATTGTTCATGTTATGTGAGGAATTACATAAAAATATTGAAAGACCAATTTAGTTTGACAAAGAAAACATTTTTTTCTATGAACTACATTATAATAACAATTGAAAAATGGTAATTAAAATGTTTTTGCTCTGCACATGATTTCAGTTGAGCAATGCAAATCAAATGTAGTTTTTCCTCAAAGTGATCATATTTATCAGGTTTAGCATAGCTTTAGTCAAGTTTTTAATGTAGATTAAGCTGCAAAATGACATTTTTAAAATAATTTGGACATTTCTACATTTGATTTTTGTAGAAATTTATATGGAAATCTATTTTGAAATTTTGACTCCTGTTGGAAAAAGTTACCCTTTACTGTGAAAATGACCGTGTATATATATATATATATATATATATAGATTAAAAGGCAAAATACTGGAAAACAACAATGCTGTGGGAAACAATGGCTGGATCTCAGTAGAGATACAAAAATGATAAGCAGCAGCTAAAAAGTAATTCAAATTCGAATACACATATGTGTATATATATATGTGTATATATATATGTGTATATATACACATATACACATATATAAAAATAAATTTCTAGATTTAGAGTAATAAAGTACATCTCTTTGGAGATCTCATCTTGAGTTTAAGATGAGGTGTCTGGTTTTGAATCCTGGTTGGGGCAATTTTTTTTTCGCACTCGCAGATTTCTCTTTACTGTACCATGCTACCTATCAAAATTGAGTGGTTTTGTTATATGACATAACAGACTTAAGTAACTTCCATGTCATTAATCATTATTATAAATTATTATAAAATGAATAATTATTCATGAATAATTTTCATTTTCATGACTGCTTATAGGCCCGGATGGAATAGGTGACTACAAAGTTGGTGTAGTGACAGATGATCGGTTTGTTGGCATTGGGACGATGTCTGCGGAGGGCACAAGTGAACTTAAGTACATTACAAGAGCATCTCCTCAGACACCTCATCCCAGACCCAAGACAAGGTGGGTTGGAGAAATTGGATGGCTGATTCCACCATTTAAAGACTTCAGAGCTGTATCAACTCGTCACCAAATCAAGGTACAGTAATAATAAATAATGATGACACTGGAACAACGGGCTTTTCTTCAAAGCTCCGCCCCTTGGATATTGTTGGCAAGGCCCCACAAAACGACAGTGTTAAAACCATAGAGCTATTAAACAACTAGAGTGCTGACAAGATGGCGAAGCAATGCAGAGTTATGTATGTGCACCATCCAAGATGGCCATCGTAGTAAAGCGCCACCTTCAGGCTTAGTATACATATTACCATAAATAAGCCCTCTGACTGACTATTATTTCATTAATGGTAAGTAATTTATTAGATAATGGTAATAACAAATTATTAAACTATCGTAGCCAAAACGAGGCCAAGTGGAGCATCTTATCCAAAAATAAAGTACCAAGGAATGAAAATCAAAATCGTTTACATTACACCCATACACCGCAACGCTTGAGTTTCAAACATACGGGTAACTAGCTGTACTGAACTTTCTGTGTAAATTGAGAGCGCAATTGCAAATGATGGTGCTTAGGCAAAATTTGATTGGCTAAATCTGTGACAGCCATTTTGGATGCTGCACACACACAGCTCTGCGTATTTCGAACATCGAATACATTGCAGTTAATGCTCTTGTATTCTTATTACAGTATATCTCTATGGTTAAAACATATGTGAATATACGTGTTTGTGGGATAACATGTGTGCTTGTTGGACACTATGCATGTATTCCTGGCACTGTTTTCATTGGTCAGTTGTTAAGTTTGCTATAGACCTGCCAAGTGTCCCGCATTCAACATGTACTGTAATTCACACAAAAAATTGCTGTCCCACCCGCATTTGTAAAATGTACGTAAAAGTTATGCATTTTTCTACTATCATGCAGGATCATTAGGCGTACTATTCACTATTTAACATCTTTTCACTATTTAATTTTTTTTTTTCCATCATTACATTTGTGCGTAATAGCGCTCTGATTATAGGGTGCTATATTAAAAACCTATTATTATAGAATATAATTTGTAGTCTACAAAATAAATGTACTAAATAAAACAGATTGCCTTACTGTAATTTCATACATTGCTTTTATGCCCCATCCCCGCACAAGTTCTATGTTTAAAAATGATTTTTCATGATTATATGCAGCTCCATTTCCTGTGCCCCATAGAGACTAGAGCATCATTCCCTACTCTAATTGACAAGTTAATTATTTGTTGCTGGATGTGAAATATATAATTCAATATATAAATAAATAAAAACTGATATTTGCCTAAAATAAATGTATTTAAATGGCCTTATATTTTTCTTGACTACATAATTGCTGTTTGTCTTGTAGAATGGAGAGTTCCGAAGAGCGAACGAGAACAGACATACACATTTATACCAGAACCCCTGGTAGGTCTAAAAATTTACTATTCACATTTACAATTTGCAATAATTAATTTTTTTTATTCATTCTTTTAACATGGTTCTAGAAAACTAATAGAAATCATAAATTAAAACTCAAGGCCAGCTTTCTCTGAAAATATTAAGAATAAAATTGATACTTTTCACTGTCTATTAAATGTTTGATCTGATGATACCAGTGCTAATTGCACAAAAACAAATCGCTAACTGTACAAGAACCAATATACATGCAACAGATAATAATAGATTATTTTTGTGTTGTTTTTTCATGTAGGTATCCCGGGCCAAATGATGTAGAGTACTCCTCTATGTATCGATTCACAGGACGAAATTTCATTCCTGCAGAGGAGAAATCTCAACGGTGGAAATTTCCGGCTGCATCAACTGGACTAATCTCATCTGCATACACTGCTGCAAGGAGCGTTAGTATCCCGCTACCAAGAGAACAACCAAAATCGGCCTCATATTGTTCCAGAAACCATGACGGCCAGTTACCATCAATGTATAATAGTCCACATAGGTATAGGAAGAATGCAGACAGCAGGCGACGGTCACAGACATCATTTAGCGACCGTGGCTCAGATCTAAATTCTCAAAGTGAATCGTATACTCGATATAATCAACACTCTTTGTCCAACCAGTCCTTTAACAACAACAATGCATCTCAACGTAATGGGTATAAGAAGGTCAGCAGATTGCCGACAGCAACAAGTATTACGATTCAATCTTGACTGTAATTTTGGTGAGTCAATAGTTCTTCACAGGTTCTAATACTGTATTTCAAAATAGATAAATGATTAACCTCAATGTATATGCTTTATAATTGGGTAATAATTTCTTATTCATGTAGCTTTTGTGATTGTATTTTATTGGAACCAAATAAATTCAAATCAAATCAGTTATTATTACTTAATATATATTCAGATATATTAGTGGCAGATTCAAGGAAGGGGGACAGCCAGCCTTCTCCACCACCCTAAATTTTTCAAAATTATACAAAAAATAAATTAAATTAAGTCTGAGAGTGCCATTTCTAACGATCTTGAGGTGCCATAATTATATTTTTTTTTTACCTCAGCACCAACCATGGTGGGGCTGGGATGGTCTAGACCCTACATCTGTGAAAGTCTCTCCCTGGACCACCTCTATTTCAAAGTTATGAAACTGCCACTCTATACAGCATTAAATCTTTTTATATTGGTACAAATGATGAGTGTACAGTACATCATTGGCTTTTAGAATACCTTCCAACAAAATATTTTTTATGCTTTTTCTTCGTAGACGTTGAGCTTGAAATCAAGGCGTGATGCACATTGACGACGCACAGCAAATGTTAGGTGCTAGATTATAAATAGGCAGGATTATCAATTGATTATTATACAAGGATTATCAAATAAATTAATCATGTTATCAATTACATTATTGAATCTCATAATTATTTTGATTTCATGTTTAGGAATTCAACACAGGTTTAGTTTTATCTATTCTTTTGCTTATGTTATTGATCAGGGTAGATTTAGCTCAATCTTGACCCATGAAAATAACTAATTGTGGCAAAGACAAGCCAAACCAGTCACTGGTCGCAAAAATGTTCTGTTATTAATACATAGTTAACTGAAAGATAAGAGCTATAAAATGGTAAAAGAGTCATTTAAATCCAACATTTAAACATACGACTGCTTAAAAACCATATTTGAAATATTGGCCTTCAAAGTTTATGATTTTGGGCATTTCGAAGGCAGAAACCATCCCCAAATTGTTAAAAATTGTTGTTTCAACATTAAACAATAGGAAAATAACAGCATAGCATGATATATAGATATGTAAAGATTAGTTTAGTGTAATAAAATAGATGTTTTAAATTTCGACATTCCAGCATGTTTTGGCTATTATCTCAGAAACAGGATTTGCAACAAGCGACTGCTTTGGCTTGTCTTTGCCACAATTAGTACCTGAAAAATGTGAATGTCGATTAATAAAAATTTAGAATACAATTTTCTTATATGGATGACTAGATACAGAGTGCAACCCATGTCCTATAGTGAAGAACAATAGATTCATAATTAGACGACGACCTATTTATTATTCTTCTACTAATATTCACAAACTCGCAGTTTTTGGTTATTGTTATTATCCAATATGAATCCTTGATCAGGATTCCTGTATACAATTCCTGAAACTGTTTATATTATTATTATTATTATGTTAACTATTTTAATATTATCATGTTTATATTTTGTTATGATGAAAACAAAGTGTCATGACCAAAAACCAATTCTGATGCAATACACTTTTCTGTAAAATATTATCAGAATACAGTTTTTGGTTATTGTTATTATCCAATATGAATCCTTGATCAGGATTCCTGTATACAATTCCTGTAACTGTTTATTTTATTATTATTATGTTATCTATTTTAATATTATCATGTTTATATTTTGTTATGATGAAAACAAAGTGTCATGACCAAAAACCAATTCTGATGCAATACACTTTTCTGTAAAATATTATCAGAACACTGCCACACACAATTTATTTGATAGAGATTAAGTTCAAATCTAAGAAGTTGCTTTAATTTTGGGGTGCAATCAGAAAGTGAATTTTATATTCACAATTCAATTGACTTATAATATAGTACTAAATTTTAAACAAAAGAAAGCAGTTATTGTTCATTAGTGTATATATTTGCTAGGGTATTGTATTAAAGTTTCTTAGGTCAAAATAATTTTTTATCTGTCTTAAAACTGAGGGGTATGCTATGCTATAGGGTTCTAGAATTCTCTCGGCCAGCCAGCTGATCACTAATGACACATAGACTACCATAGACTTAAACATTACTAATTCTGTCTGTTCAGTTGGTAGTCAAAATAATATCTTAATGTAGTACAGTAATATTGATTCATGCAATAATTAATTATAATTATGATGTAAAATTTGATGTAAGAATTATGATTACAGGAGCTGAGTGATATTAGAACTTGTTTGTTGTGCAATATTTATACAACACTTTCAAAATAATTTTCAAGTACTATTTTTATACTTGTGATTTAATAAATCTGATTTTTACTAAATTAAAATAGCGCACATATTATTTTGTTTTAAAAAATGTGTTACTATTCCAATAAACATACAGTAATGGATATGAGTGTAGAGATATTACTATAGTACCTCCATGATATGAGCTGTAGTCTGGTGACAAGAACACATTATGAGAATTTTCCAATTAATGGGGCTTACAATGCCAAAACCAGCATCAATGGAACACAAGAAAATTGAATTTTTTAATATTATATATGACAGTGTCGTACGACGCAGCCCGACGCGATTTGTTGTCACGTCGGGTATGTGTGAGTTAAACGCAGACGCGATGTTGTGCGTCGGGGGCAGGCGTGTCGTAGAATATTAAACATGTTTAATATTTCTCACGACAGCTTAAGACTGTCCCCGAAGATAAATCGGGTCGGGCTGCGTCGGCCGACGCTGTCTGAGTTGGCCTTTACTGTTGCTAAATTTATGAGTAAAAGTATTACAGCTTCTATGTACCAAAGTAGTGTACAATAACATTCTTTAAGATGCTAATTACTCGGTTTCACATTTAGTGACATTATGCTGGTTTTGGGATGGCAGGCCTTAATTACTCTTGCATCCCAATCAGCACAGCAAGCACTCCTCTCTGGCAAATACTCTCAATTTTTTTTCCTGTTTTATTATTTCATTTATTATTTCCAGGCAATATAAAATACAGTATAACAAAGACACAAACCTGAGGATAACCTAAAGTAAACTGAATTACTATCGAGAGGCTCACCTAAAAGGAAATCTTTACTTAAATTTGGTGGTGGACATTTGGTGCAACAGTTTGATTTTAACCAGATTTGATTCTAGCTGTGCATTGTTCTTGTGTCCCCACACTGTTTCTCTCTACCCCAGTTAGTTGCAGGGGTTTGGGGGACCTGGTAGGATAGGTAGGAAAGGCAGTATGTTACAATAAAGAGCTATATGAAAGTGCTATATATGAATAATGTATTATTATCATGGTTGCTGCTGTCTTCAGCATATCAATAGCATCATCATAAAAAAACTAAGTCTGCGCAAATTGTCCTACAAAATCACTGGAACTTGCTTTACAGTATGGTGAAATTGGGACTATTCCTTGTGGTTGGCAGCTATGAGTTAAATAACATGTCAATGCAAAGGGTGTGTGTAGGTCAAATCAACAGATAACAGTTCATATTATGCATTCAATGGCAATATGAACTATTACTATATTTGTTTCTGTTATCAATTGATTTGATAAATGCCTTTGCATTGAAATTATATTTAACTCATTGAGTGCAAATTTAGATAAAGACCTCACAAAATATTACCATACCAGCATCATGAAAGGACCATGTGATACTCCCATGGTGGGGGGTAGAAAGTACTGTTCATTCAAACCATCTGAAATGTTTGGTAGCGCCACTTATGAAAAAAATTCTTATATTCAACAATTCAACTTAAACAGAACATTATTAACACAAGAACCATGCTCAATTATAAATATTTTATTACATATACAATATGTACAATAATAAATCATTGGCCCTTTAACTACAAAAATACAACATTCATTCAGCAATGTGAAGTAGTGGTACTTTATAATGTGCAGGTGTGCAGCCCCCAGGCTACATGCGGCCGGCCCGACAAGTGTTTTGTTGCTTCCCGGTTTGTGCTGCCCGTCTACAACATTTGGCTTGAAAACCCCCTTATTTTTAACAGCTCGTTGCCGATCATCAGTAAAAATACATATAAAAAACTAATAATACAATAAAACTATGTACTTTAAAATATCTTTTTTTTAAAGATACAATAGAAAACTAAAATTTTTCATATTGAAAAAAAAATCAGCAGCCCTCAATAATATTAATTTAAAAATATTTTTCTGACCCGCTGACCAATTTTTATGGATAGATTTCAGCTAGCTGCAGGAGCTAAACTACTGTATAATTGTAAATATCATGGTTGACCATTTCAGGTTAAACTTCTATAATGTTTACTAAAATTTCACAGTCCACCAAAGGAGGTAAAATTGTATAACTGTATAAGTGAAATGTATATATTTCATGTCATGTAAGTACTTCAATCCTCAAATAAATATTTGCTAAATAATCAGTCTACCTTTGGAAATAAAATTATGTAAAATAAATTCATAGTCATCATAGAGATAAATTGCATAGTCTAGCATAAAAAGTAAATTAAATTTTCAGTCTACCACAGGAAGTAAAATTGGATTAATTTCTATTAGGAAGTAAATTACTCTTATTGATAAATGGTTAGTATTTGGCAAGTGTACCACTGTATAGGATAACATCAAAAAGTACAGAATGGTAAGAGTTCTGACTCTCCTGATTTTGCATGCAAGCAATGAAATGAAAAATGCGTTACTACCAGAAGATAAGGGGCAGTCTATTATAATTTTGAATAGAGTTCAAAAATTGAACAGGCATTCTCTACACGCAGCACACGTTTGATACAAACAACTTTAACATGTATATTATATCTTTTGAAGGATGCCCTCTAATATGTGGTACTTTTCAAGTAAACACCGACAGTCGGACCTCTTGCCATTCTTTATTCCTTGATAACATCATGAGTGTATTTGGATGAGGTAGTATTAGTTGTACTATTCATCCAGTATTCCTGCTATTCTTATTGGCTCGTTTAGCTTCTCTGTCAACCTGCTGTATAGTAGCATCACGATTGGCTGTTGCTGTTTTGCTAGCTTTGGTCATATCCTCCAATAGGATCCTCTGTTTCAAGCATGTTGAACAGCATTGTTCACGATAGATGGCTAGCTTGCAATATTGCTGATACGTCCTTAAACTACAGATCTTGCCTCCAGCCTTTGGTGAGCAAACTTCAAAAAAGAAATAAACTTCAAAGTAAGTAAAAAAAGCTACACGTGATGATTTCCAGCCTTATTATTAAGTTGCATCTTTATTATTTATACTTACAAAACCCAGGTTTACACTAGTATGGGGCACATAGTGCAGGCAAATAACTGGGAACTTGGAACATGAAAGCAAAACGAATTCACTCATTTGTGACTGCCATCATTATCATAAATAAATTTTGATTCTTTGACAACACAACACATACAAGGAGATGTAACAAATGCAAAAACCCAATCCTAAAATATGGTACAGCTGTTTCTCACCTGAACATAGATTTGACAGCTGAAAGGAACTGAACACACAACGTTCGTGCAGTTATATTAAAATGATGTTATTACATTCATACGTTTTTTAAGTTATGGTCTACAGACCATAGTAAAAATGCAAGATAAGTAAAATAAGGTTCTAGTTTTGGAAGGTCGTTATAACGCCACAATCAACATTCCAAAGAAATAGTAGAGCTACTGTATGATATTCTAATGATATAATAGTAGTAGTAGAAATATCATTTAAATTAGGTTTTGAAAGTAGATTTGGAAATGCAAAGAAAACTAATAATGAATAGTCAATAATGAATAAAAGCAACATTAATGGTATTTAAGTATAATAACAGCATATTAGGGTATACTAACCACATGGTCCCATATCGCATGGCTTGGAGCTTCGGTTTTTGTCTTTGGTTTGACATCCATAATCTGGATTCTCTTCACCATCAGGTCCGACACAGGTAATTGTACGCGTCTGAACGCCCTTCTCGCATGACACCGAACACTATCAAGTAAAAATATATCCATGCAAGTTATATTTCTATGCTCTGCTGCCCTCAATGTTAACTTTTCTAAATGATGAGGATAATAAATATTTGAGGAAAACATATGTTCTTATCGGGATTCAAACCCAAGACCTTCCGATTACCGTTCGGATACTCTACCAACTGAGCTATGAGGCCAAGTGGTCAAGTGGTATACAGCCTTGGGTTTTCCCATTAGAACACATTATTTTCTCAAGGTATTGCATAATAATAATATGCTATATAAGTCATTATTATTATTATTAATACGAAATAAATAATATTAAATCACCTGAAAGCATCTTTGGCCGTTTATTAGGCAGTGACCATCACCAAATCATTAAAAATTATTGATTTAAACATTGAAAATGGGGAAAATAACACAATGGCTGTATAGATATATAAAGTTTAGTATAGTGCAATAAAATATATTTCAAAAATTTTGACATTTCAACGTTTTGGTCATTATTATCTCTGAAACACGATTTGCGAGGAGTGACTGGTTTGGCTTGTCTAACTAAAAGCTGTGACTCACCTGGGACCAGACACTTCTCTTCCACTTTCCTTCACAAAGCGAGACATTGCAGGGTTTGCTAATGGCTGGTCGTTCAGCATGACAAAGCCTGATGGGAACTGTTTCATTTACACCGTTAATGTTCAGCACACAGTCCACCCAACGAAGTTGGTAGCTTCGTAGTCCACATGCCTTAGAACATTCACTCCAGTTAGATACTCGCCACCTTTAAGAATTAATGGATTTATAAAGATAAGTTATAAGTCACAAATTTATAGCTGTCTTATCAGCAATGTTCCATTAATTTAATTTAGTTTAATTTGTGTTTTTTCAATTGGCAATTAAAGGGAATCATTTTACATTTTTGGTGAGATTTCCCTGAAAAGGAATGATTTATAGCAAACTAGTTTTGATGAAAATTGATCTTGAATGTAATTTTCTGCACAAGAACATTACAATATTTTAATGAAATATTTTGTAACATATCATTCTGCAATATTTATTAGTTCACATGTTGCTGTCTCCAGGATTGATGTAAACAAATGTTACTAGTAAGCATTACTTACTGTGGTACAATGCACTCGCGTTCCTTACACACTCTGCTAACTGGAATAAGAGGAGGGTTATTTGCTAGACAATAAAACTTGTCCATAATATGTTCACTGCCCGCTTCAATGCAATTAAACATCTTGACTGATGTACCTAACGAATGCAAAATTAATTAACTTTTATTAAAATGATATTTAATTCCAGTTTTTTTCATTTTAAAAAAATTAGGAAAACAAGAAAGGAAAAAAAACCAGACAGGATTGAAAAGAAGGTAACTACAAGAAAATAAAAACATTCTGTATTATGTACCATTTCCACAAGATGCACTGCACACAGTCCACCCCTTCTCTTGCCAGTAGTAGGTATTCCTTTTATTTTTTTGAAGTTTTCTTGGGTTGTTTAAGGCCTCTCGATTTATCACATAACTGTAGTGAATGATGATTGGTGATTTGTCATTTCCATTACCTAGCTACATAAACAAATTATAAATAATTATAAAAATTTATATTATAAAATTATTACAAAAACTTGGCTCCATAACTTGGCTTCAAAACTTCACAAACAAATAGTTGCAAAAAAATAGTTTAAATAAGAATTTCCAAATTGCACATTAAAAATACCGATACTTAACATCCAATTTTTAAAAATATTGTATATGCAAACATAATTTCTTACCAATACTGTTATGTTAGACCGCATTGGTCCCCGTGTTTTCAACATCTCAACTCCATCTTCATTGATGTAGACAAAGTTTACTTTATGAAAGACAAAATCACACGATGGTCCCTGGATATTTTTACTGTTCAATATGTACCGCCTGTTTAAATCATCTTTTAGTGCTAAAATAAAACAAAATTTGAAAATTATTATCCATATATCACTGTAATCATTATTATAAATATTTATGCTGCTACATGATAAAATTTTATTATTTGATATATATCATAATTACATTGTTCATTCTTTCCTAAAATTTCTTAAACATATAATATAGTTAAGATAATAAAAGTAATATTTGTAATTCATCTCAATTTGGTCCACTCAACTGCAAATGTGCCGCCGTGAAAATCACCCTATCTCTTAACCATTAGAGTTTCCTCAAAAAACATCAACTGATTTTACTTCAAAAATGGCAACTAAAAAACTAGATTGTATAACTTAGTTTGAAAACGGTTTATAGAAGGTTATAAATACACCTATTGTAAGCAATTTACGAAATATTTGTTTTCAAATATTTAGCTCCGTCATTTTTGGGTTGAATTACGAAAATATAAGTGATATTAGCATGTTCAGCTGCATTTGAGTCGGCTTGTGAGGAGTCGTTTATTTACAACGTTATAACTTTGCCTATGCCAATCCATTTGCTTAGGTTGAAGCAGCAACAAAAAGGCAGTTTTCTTGCTATCAGTTATATATTAAAAATAATCTCATTGGATATAATTCTCTTCCATCATTTTTGCATTCTTTCAAAGGCTTTCAAGAAGATAAACTGACCGAGCTCACAGCTAGTCCAGGGATCTGGCTGCGTTCCATTTTGTGAACTGATGACAGGAGTGATGAAAATATGGTACCATATCACTTAGACGGTCTTACTAAAGTCATTCCTCTAAAGACCACTGCTATAAAACAGTCTTCTTTAAGACCGCTTTGAGTATTGAAATGCAAACAAGCACTCCCTGGTAACGTAAGATTGGGGATGATGTCATGCGTGCTCGACACGCAAATGTTTCAAAATGAACGTAAATAAACGTAGACCTATTTTCGCAGACGCTGTTGTTCGATTCTCCGACTTTGACGATCTAGGCCTAGGTCTTGCCATTGCGCTGTTGAATGATGAAAATGATTTAAGACCGTTTTAAGCCTCCTCCGAGTAGAAAATTTAAGACGGCTAACTGGTTAGACCACAATATGATAGCAATGGTCTATAAGCATAGACCAGTAGTGACGACACAATTATAGCCGACTAACCGTCTAAAGACCGCTTATAGCAATCCACCCATGTTTTAAAATTTAATAAATGAATTGCTTAATATTGGACTTATCTTATTTTTACAGTGTTTTGAATAGTTTGGGCATTTATTTTTAATAGGTGTTTTCCACAGTAATTAATCGTTTAATGAAGTGCATTTTTATATACCCTTTTCGGATAATGAAATTGTTTAAACATTGCGCAGTGCAGCGTGCTCAATCTGTTCATTTCTGCCTTTTGTACATGCGCGCAGTATTAAAATTGTTTTGTTACGTGGTCAAAACAGCCTAAACAAATTGATGTATTATTAGTGTTTTTGTAAGTTTAATAGTATTATCATATAATTTCTTGCGGAAAAGAAATATATTGCACATTATCTTAATGCACGTGTCCAGCTACATGTGTTAAAAAAAATGTATACACTGATCATCTACACATGGTACAGTAAATAAACATTCAATTATCTACCGCCCTCTTTGTAATGGTGCTATCCAAATGTACTTTACTTATTTGGACAGCCAACAGTCCTAATGTAATTACATAAATCAAGGAAAAATTATGTGAGAGAGGAAGTTGAAATGAAAATATGACAACATGGAAATGAAACATATCTTTTTGGAAAGGATACTGTAGGTCTACATGAATGAGAGTAACTTACATATAAAATTATTGGTTTTTGAAACCTCCTCAACTAAAACATCATATGCTCCTATAGGTATCTTGAATGCCACTTGATAATCTATTTTTTAAAATATGGCAAGAACAAAACAAACATAAAATTAAAGGCAAAATAGATGCATTCACTTAAATATTGTTTTATTATTATTTTTATTATTATTATTACTATTATTATTATTACTATTATAATTAATATTATTATTATTATTACTATTATAATTATTATTACTATTATAATAATAATTATTATTATTATTACTATTATTATTATTATTACTATTATAATTATTATTACTATTATAATAATAATTATTATTATTATTACTATTATTATTATTACTATTATAATTTTTATTATTACTACTATTATTATTATGCAATTCTCTCCTGTTCTTGATGTTCTACTGGGTCGTTTGAGCTACGTCTCTGCTACTTCCCACAGCTTAGAGACACAAAGCTTTTCTAAAAGTGTGAGCGGTTCCAAACGGCTGAGAACTGTACACTTCCAATGCAGTTAGGTAAATATAACTTCCCATGCCAGGTCTTTGCATTCTTCAAGATATATCTGAGTGCACTAATTACGATTATTATTATTATTATTATTATTATTATTATTATTTTAGCATTTTTAGCGCTTTTTTCCTGGTCATTGGATACAGAATCAACCACACACAACATGTAACCTCCTCCGCTCCCTGAGGAATATTCCTAGTTACCGTATGCATGTAAATAGCACTATTAATTTCATTCCAAATCATTTACCTCCTACCAGGCACCCATTTATACTTCTGGGTGAAGGGAGGCAAATGCAGATAAAGCATGTCTTGCCCAATGACAAAAGCAGTGCGACGAGCATCCTTACCACCTTACACAATGCACCACACACGCTTCCACATTTTTAAGAGATGTACTAGAAATCAATCTCAAATAAATATAGACTTGAATTTCCTAACACATCATATCCTACAGTTTTGGTCTAGACATTTCCAAACGCGTAACAAGCCACATATCAACTCTGACATAATTAGCACTAGCACAAACAAAAATGTTTGGGAGTAAGTGAACGTCAGTTTCAGTGTTGAACATTTTGATTTCTTACTTCTTTTTAAACGTCTCCTTTTCATGGCATGTACCTCTTGGCAGGTTGAGTTATCCCCTCCGCAGACACCACATTTATCAAACTTCAATGTGGACCCTAAAACCTTGTCACAGCCAATTCTCTTAATCAAAAACAAAATAAAATCCTGACTTAAAGACCCTATGCTAATCAAGAGATTCATTAAAAATTCACTATTAATTTATATTGATATATTTTAAAGCACTCGCTATCCAAGAAGCAGTAGGTACCTTCACCAGTAATCAACTCAATTCTACCCTTTAGAATTACTTGGTTAAAACATATTAAAATATGCGTCTTATTAACAACTGAATTTCATTGCATTGAGAAGATTATTATAGTTATTGGAAGGATGGATTTATCTGGTGTATGCACCAAGGATAACCCACAAAAGTCTGAAGAAGACTTATTTCCAGTAGGGTCCTTCTAGTGGTGATTGGGCAGTACACAAGGTGACAATCCTCTACTCATTTCCAAAGAGTGTGCAGCACTCCTTAATGTGCACTTGGGCCATAATTCACATGGGACCAATGGTTTAAACACCTCATTCAAAAGACAATGCTCTATTGTAACTTGCACTTCAGCCCCCCAGCTGTAACACAAGAAAAGCAGCAATGGGAATTAAATTGTGGATCAAAGACTCTCCACTGTTCAGCGCACACACAGTGGCTACCACCAGTTTAACCGACTGAGTTAAGCTGCTCACTATTTTTGTGAAATAGATTAATGATAGGAAGATATAGCTTGGTGGGATTGATTAAATGATATAAATGTAGAACATAATATAACATTTATTGAAATGGCAAAATAAAAATTACACATTAAGTCAATAAATTGTCCGTAAAAAATTAAAAGAATGAATATGATAAATATCCTTGAAGAATGAATAATAATAATAATAATGTTATATTTATATAGCGCATATTGCACATTGCCCCTATGCGCTTTACAAAGAAATAATATAGGCCAACTGAAAAAATGCAAATGATAATAAAATAATAACAATAAAGTAAAATAAAAAATAATAATCATAACAACAATAATAACAATGAGACTAAACTACTCCTATTCCTTAAACTAATTAATGGTTGGCTGTTGACTCCGAGGAGCTCATCAGCCCTTTGTTCAGCTATTGGTTTTTCTTGCTGCTGGGTGACCATAAATATTGTGTGTAATAAATTAAAATAATGTTTGAACTGAGTCATTATGAGGCTTAGGGAAGGCTTTCATGAAACAAAAGTGACCCCAATCTGCTGGAATTGCAAGACACCTTACCACCAAACTAAAGATGCTCTTAAAATCTGGAGCATGGAGTTTGTTATATGCAGTAAAGGTTTGCGAGTTTAAACCACAAGAACTGGTATACACTTTGACAGATGTACTCTCTCAAAATCAGCCTTGCCACCTAACAAGTTTGTTGTTAGATCAACAAGATTGTTCTCTGATGACACTATAATGCCTAATTAGATTACTTCCTCCAAGATGATACATCAAGGTTGGAGGGTGTCTTTTACTCACCATGCACTTTCCGTCGATGCAAATACCATGTGGGTTTTCGTAGGAACATGCAACACCATCAATGACATCCTGATCCATGACCACCACTGACTTTGTGTTAAGTGACACACACGACAGCTTACAACCAAGACTTCCTAAACACATAATCACTTTGTTATTTGATGTCAAAAATTATATGAGGCAAGTGATAATGAAAACCAGCAAAATCATGCATACTTAGTCACACATCCCTTCTTTTTTACACCCAAACAATGCTGTATCCTATTATATAGTGCAATCACCTCTTATTTTAGTTTTGTTTCTACATGCCACAAACAAAAAATGCATGTTTTTACTACATACCATATATTCTTACATATAAGGCTATCTGAGTATAAGACTTTTGTATGGTGCGTGTGTATAAGGTGACAACCCTGTTTCCGTCGAGACGGGATGGCGCCAGTGGGGTGGCCGGGGAGCCAGGGCCCCCCGTCGGGGAGAGCTGGAAAAAGCACTATTCGTCGGGGAGAAAAACGAATTATATGTATTTTCTACATATTAGTAGACTTTAAAATCGATTAAACAAGCCTTTGAAACCCCTAAATTGTCAATATTTTTCGGGGCTACGCCCCCTGGACCACTTTCTTTGCAATTCTTTTTTTAAAAAAGATAAATAGGGGTGGGTGGAGAAAGTTTTTTTTTTTAAATTTATTTTTAATTTTTAAATACTCATCAGATGGAATAAAACTTAACCCACAGAGGCCTACAATGGCGGTATCTTACATCAGACGACTTTAGACTAATTTGTAGGGCATCTGGCAAAAAATAAAGATAAATTCACTCACATTTTTTTAATTTGTTAAGAAAAAAAGCTAAAAAAAAAAAAATTTTTTTTAAAGTTTTTTTTGTTTTTCCATCTATTTTTTTCAGTGAGTTAAAAGCGGGTGGAGGAGGGCAGACAAACAATTTTTTTTTTTTTGCCTAAATGAAGTGTTAATAAACTTGCAATCTAATTGGTTCAGACTGATCATGTGATCATGAACCTTTTTATAATATTTTGTACTCATTCATTTTAGTCAGCAAGTATACATGTATCGGTCTATACTATTTACAGCACTGATTAATAATATTAATATTCTTTTTAACAGAGGTAATTACATTGAATGATATACTAGATAAATATTGCATAGAATATTTAAAATTCTCATCCAATAATATGAAGCTCATTCATTTCAAACTATAAACTAATCAATTATGAATTTTATCTAGATACATGTACAGCATTAATATTAATAGTCTTGGAAAGTGCAGTTGTTTGTGAGAATGCTAATATAGGACTGAACTCTACACATTGCAGAGTGAACACCATTCTTTCGAAACAACATGTATGTGTGTGTGAAACTTTTTCTTCAAATTAGTGATATCATCATTCGAAACACCTTGCATGCCTAGGTAAATATTGTGTTGGGAACACCGACCAATAATATCCTTCCATCCACAATTTGAAACCACCCACAATTTGAAATCATGACTGTTGAAAGTACCTACTGTTGTGAAGTTCTGAGGGCACCCATGCCTGCATTGCCCCTTCATGCATCCAATTCGACAAGTAATCCCTGCATGCATCAGCCCGAGGGTCTTGTATCGGATTCCCACAATCCTTCACAACAAAGACAGAAAAAATTACATAGTCACTATGATATGAGATAATGCTTATTAATAAATTACTGTAATCATGGAAAAATAAGGTTAAATTACGATGATGATATTTCAATTAGACTCAATTATTGACGATGTTAGGTAATAAACACTTAATGAGTTATATGATAGGCACAATCCTTGGTGTTTACCCCTAATAAATCCAATCCAATTTAGATCGCATAATTTCCCTATATATTCAATGGTTAAACTTCCCTCTATCAGTTTCTAATTGAGAAATGCAACTTTTTTTTTCATTTCATTATACTGAATGCATGAGTTAATCAATAATTTGAATCGTCCTTTTGGGTGTGTAAATTGCGTAATATAAAGAATGCACAAAACCATGCAGACTTATAAAATTAAATAATATGAAGATAAAATATAACCATGGAGCTATAACGAAAATGAGGTACCACCGGCCAAGATGGGATGTGTTATAATTGTTGATTACGCCTTTAAAACTAAGAGATCTGAGGTAGAAGATCTGGCCTGTAACCAGGTTCATGTTGAGGGAAGTTTCCTATAGGCCAACTTTAACTCAAAAGTGTTTCATTAATAGAAAAAGTTTATGATAACCCAGGCTGGGTTGCTCCACGTCTTTTTGAAAAGAAAAAAAAAAGAAAGAGAGGAGGGCGCTGTTGTTTGTATGTAAGACTGATAAAATTATATTTAGGAATTATTCAAATTTAAATGCTCAATGCTTTAGTGAAGACGTAAGATCTATTACTGTAACTGGTCTGAGGTATTTGATTTTTCAGATGTAAATTTGTCATACATGCCATTCCTTAATCTATTCTTAGATGTATGCAACAAGCATGCTCCACTTATCACAAAGGGCATGTTCCTACTGGAAAGAAATAATCGATTAAAAATTGCTTTTCGAAAAATCGTTTTTATTCTCGCAATATAAACGGGACCAGTTTGAAAAAAACCGATTTAAAAAATTTATTAAAAGCACGCAATGGATAGTGTGTTTGAACGGCAAATAACCAATTTTGGCTGTGCACCTTTTAGCTGCAACACAAAAAAAGCGATTATCGGGTGAAATGTGACCTCCAGGTCGATCACTGCAAAGACTAGATCGTATTAAGCGCGAACTTTCAAAAAAATTTGTCCTCTTGTTCATGTCCTAGGAGCTAAAAACGTCAACAAAACATGTGGAGTGACGAATTCGTTTTGTAATTATTTTGTGGTGGGGGGGGGATATTGGGGCCTAGGCCTCTCTGCTCTTTTGGGCCTACTGTTGTCCTCGTTTGGTCACTCGTTTATAATTGTGCCGATGAGCACAGCCGAAACATTTGCCTTCTCGCTCCACATCGTATCTTACTCCTCGTCATCATGACAGGAATGAGAAAGATACTATCCTATACAGTTAGGAAAAACAACGTGTTGTAATAAACAAAATGGTGACATAGTTTCCGTCACAAAAACTGATTTTCGAAAAATAAAAAATGCAGTTGCAACCCCAGCAGGCTGTCTGGTACTCTTTAAAAAAAACGGTTTTAAAAAATCGATTATTTTGTGTTTATCAGTATTAACACACCCTAAAAGTGTTAACCCAAAAAAGAAATCTAACAAGCCATGGATTAATTCTCAAATAAGAAAATCAATAAAATTTAAACCTAAATTATTTTCAAAAGTGATAAAGAGCAATTATAATTCAGAGATTTTAGCAAAATATAAACGATGTCGTAACAAACTTACTAATACTTTAAAAGAAGCTAAACAACCATTTTTTTCAGAACAATTTGAAAACCATTGTGGAAATATGAATAAAACATGGGAAATTGTCAATGACATTTTAGGCAGAGGAAAAAAAGGAAATGAAATTACCTAGTCATTTGGAAGTCCAGTCTGAAAGTGGTAATGTATATAAATTTACTAGTCAGTAAGACATAATTAATTGTTTTAATAATGACTTTGTTTCAATTGGCAAGAATTTTGAAAGAGATATCAATGATAGGCCTATTGAAAACCACATGGTGTACTTACATACCCATCCAAATTCTTTAATTCTTGGTACAACCGAAGAAGTTACAGATATTTTAATAGGATTAGATAAAAATAAAGCAGTTGGTTTGGACCAAATTAGTCGCAAATTAATAATTCTAGCTGCAAATTACATTTCTATACCACTTACATATATAATTAATTTATCATTTTCTACAGGATTCTTCCCAGATGCACTAAAAAAGGCAAAGGTTATTCCCATTTTCAAAAAAGGATCACCGTCTGACCCAGGAAATTATAGTCCAATATCCGTCTTACCTCGATTTAGTAAAGTCTTTGAAAAAATAATCAATAAACAACTTACATCATATTTAAACCGATTTGATTTATATTATATCCTCGTCAATATGGTTTTAGAGAGAAATATAGTACAAAACTTGCTATTACGGATTTAACACAGAATTTGTCGGAGGACATAGATAATGGCAACATAGTTTTTGGAATGTTTTTCGACTTTAAAAAAGCATTCGATACGGTGAACCATGAGATTTTAATAAGTAAGTTACATTCATACGGAATACGGGGATTACCTTTGGCGTTATTCAAAGATTATTTAAATAATAGGAAACAGTTTCTTAGTATTAAAAATGGGATTGAATCAAATGAACTTCCACTAACATGTGGTGTACTACAAGGGTCTGTGTTAGGCCCTACGTTGTTTCTTATATATGTAAATGATATTGCAAGTGCTACTAATTACACTCGCCTTTTTGCAGATGATACCAGCTTATTTTATACCTTTAATACATATGATAATATTGACCTAAATTCTGTAAATGAACAATTAAAACAGATTGTAGACTGGTGTGATTTAAACAAATTAACAATAAACTCAAATAAAACTAAGTATATTATTTTTCATGGTAAGCACACTGTGGTCCAACCAAATGGTGCAATTTATATAAAAGGAGCACAAATTGATGAAGCAGAATCTACAGAATACATTGGGGTATTACTCTTGACAAAAATCTGGCATGGAAAGAACATATTAATATGGTAAATAAAAGTATTAGTTCTAAGGCAGGCTTGCTTTACAAATTAAAGAATTTTAATCCTCCTTCAATTTTGTTATTGCTGCGAAGCAGCCAATTCATATTCTTGACAGCAATTTGACCTCTGAAATGTCATTGTTTGTCAAAAAACAAGGGCCTAA